GTCTAGTGCAGCCCCTTCTCTGGTCACTCAGGGAACAGAAAACTACTCATCCAGTGACCAGTATATTTGCCCTCTACCAGACTCCTGTACCCCACTGGTCTGGGTCTGTCACACTGCGTAGACAAGCCCTTACTTCCGTCCCTCTCATCACAGGAGATTGGTCAGCGCCGAGAAAGATCCAAATCTGAAGCAGACCAGAGTCCATCTGTAATTTTGACTACACCAAGCCATTAGATTTTTGCCTACTTAAAACAGTAACACCCGTCACTATGCAAAGGTATGTCAGTCAGTGGCTGGCGTAAGTAGTACTTTGGCGAGAGAAGCACAGTGCCGAGTCCTGAGAAAGTACTAGAGTAAGAATTCAGCCACACATTTTCAAATAAAGAAATAATGCAAAGGCATAATAAGCCTAGGGGGAGGGATAGCTCAGTGGTTTGAGCATTGGCCTACTAAACCCAGGGTTGTGAGTTCAATCCTTGAGGGGGCCACTTAGGGCTCTGGGGCAAAAATCAGTACTTGGTCCTGTCAGTGAAGGCAGGGGGCTGGACTCGATGACCTTTCAAGGTCCCTTCCAGTTCTATGAGATAGATATATCTCCATATAGTTGTTTATTTTTTTAAGCCGACTAGGACTGAAGAAAGAAAGTAGCTTCAGCTCTCAGACAGGCTGTGTATTTAATAGAGGTGGGTGACATTTTTCAGCTCCAGCTTTCTGCCCCCTTCCCTGCCCCCCAGCAAACTGCAGATTTGGCAACCCCAAGATGTTTCACGAGATGTCAGTTTCGCCAAATTGTTTTGGTAGGGGGAAAAAAGAGTAAAAAAAAATTACTGAAAAAAAATCTTTGCCTCTGTAAGAGGCTCTCACATTAGGTGGCATGAGGAATGCAACACTGCATCACCCCCAGACCCTGCGTTCTGTAATATCCTTAAATGTACGTGGCGTAGGGGCTTGAAACCTGCCCAAACTTTGGTCTCCTGCGTGGCAGAGAGGGAGCTGCTAGGTGAAACAATTCCTACAAGTATCTAGAACATTGATTTTTTTTTTCATTTTACCGCCCCAACCCCAGTAATGACTTACCACCAGAAACCTCATCAAATTTTAGAGCTTTCCTTTTCCCATGCTGTCTTTTAGGACACTAAAGGCACAAATTGTGTATGCAACAGCAGAAAGTGATGTGCACAATGGGAAGCAATGGGGAAAAGACAGAAGAACTGCAAGAAAAGCTGTTTATAGCAAGCGTACATAGCTTTGCAGGCCAGTTTTGATGCTGGCCATTTGAACTCATACCGTTGGTGTTTTGAAATCAGTAAGCTAGGACAAAGCTCTGGTCTCAGATCTGCCCGGCAGATCTTGAATCCTATATTCCATTCCTCCCCCATGCACAGATCCACCACTGATAGGGTGACCAGATGTCCCGATTTTATAGGGACAGTCCTGATATTTGAGGCTTTGTCGTACATAGGCGCCTATTACCCCTCACCCCCAACCTGATTTTTCATACTTGCTGTCTGGTCACGCTACCCACTGAGCTCAGCGGAAGATCTGTGAACAGGGCGAGAAGAAAACTGTCAAGCCCTCCTGGACAGAATTTTGTCCATTAAGCAGATTTTGTGATCTTGGTGCGGTGCTTTTGAGGGTGGGAGATTCCTTCTACAAAGACCTGAGGCTACAGTTGGCTTCCTTTTACAACATTCAGGACTATCTTTGGGTGGAAGAGAGACAGGAGATAAAAATGGGGCATAAAAACAAATCCTTCTCAAAATCTTGAGTAAGGAAAAAGTCAGAGCAACTCTTCTGAAACAGCCTATAAGAAAGGAGCCTTTCTTAAAAATCCCTCTGAAGTGAGAGGCATCGGCATCTTAATAGAGGTCTAAATTACACAGTTGGATGGTCAAATCAGCACACAGGCAGGTAAAGTGGGAACTTTCAAGTATCAGTGCTTACATACAATGGTGAGGGTTTCTAGAGAAACGACAGATAGAATTTATGATGATAATAATAATAATGCTTTGCTCTCATGTAATACTTTCCCACAGTAGATCTCAAAGTGCTTTACAAAGTAGGTCAATAGCATTATCCCCATTTTACAAAGGGGGAAACTGAGGCATAGAGTGGGGAAGTGACTTGCCCTAGGTCACCCAACAGGCTAGTGGCTGAGCCAGGAATAGAACCCACATCTTCTAAGTGCCAGGCTGGTGCTGTCCAATAGGCCACCCTGCCTCTGAGCCTAAGTGCTGATCGGAACAGCCAAATGCAGAACGTGCAGGCTCTATTAAGGTGCCCAACATTTGAAAACTGGTGCCTGTTGGTCTCCCATATAACGAAAGACTGATACTGGGCGAACTGAAAGCTAGCACATTTGGAAGCTTTTCCATGGAGCTGCATCCCTGCTGTGAACATATTGGAAGATTTCCCCACCCACCCTCTATCTCCCCTGTGAGAAGCATCCCACCTCCCGCAAGGTGATGGTAGGCGAGCTTAGAAAACAGCCTCTCTATACTTACTACAGTGACAAGTATTCAGAATCAGAGGTAAGTCCTTTGGAGAAAGCAACACATGGAAAGAGAAAGGAAGAAATTGTGGGGACAGACATACACCAACACAATGAGACACAATGAGAACAATAAAAGAGTAAAGCCACCACATTGACCTTCATGGACCAGTTCACGTCTTTGCCTAGGGCAGCCAGATACCTTCATTGTCTCCAGTGAGCTACGCATCTGATCTGAGGAGCATGCTAATAACTCACACCATTTCTCCCCCCGCATTATGCCCAGCTACTGATTAACACAACGCTGATGTGTTTTCATTTTAGCTATCTGATACCCTCTGATGGTATTATATCACCTCTTATATTGAAATCCAAGGCAGGAGATAGATAGATATAGATCTCTCTCTCTCTCTAGATATATATCTATATCTATCTATCTCCTGCCTTGGATTTCAATGTAAGAGCAGAGGCGACATAATACCATATATATATATATATATATATATAATGTTCTGAAACCCTTGGGACTAACTCACACACATTTGACTGACCCAAAGCCCACTGGAATTAGTAGAAAGACTCCCATTGATTTCAATGGGGTTTGGATCAGGTCCATAGCCAGCAGTTTCTTACTACACGTATTGTTATGCTCACTGGTTGCGCCTCGTTTCAAGTTACATTGCCAACTCTTTGGGATGGGGGCTGTGTCTTTCCATGGGTTTGTACAGCACCTAACACAATGGAGAGCTTATTCCGGGGGAGGGCTTTGGGCACTCCTGCGGTGCAAATAATAAAGAAATAGACATCTTTGTTCCAAAGGCCTCCTGTGTGATTTGTTGGGACAAAGGTGGCGCAGAATTTACGGCTATAATAACCCACCCTCCTTTTAACAAAGAAAAGGAGAACTGGATTATCTTTCCACTGGTGGAAGATGCCCCTCCAAGCCTACAGTATGCCCATGCCTTGCTGCCCATGTGACAGGGCTCAGGTTTATCTCAGGATGCAACTGCAGGAACACTGCTGCATCCACCCTAGGCAGTACCCCAAATGCTCCAATTCCCGCCATGCAGCATAATCACTGCCTGGCACACAGGCTCAGCTTACCGTCTGAGGACTTCGTGGGGGACACGGGTGGGCTCTTTGGTGGAGACTTTGTGGGGCTTCGCTGTGGGGAAGCGCAGGGAGACTTCACAGGAGAAGCCTGAGATTCCTCCACGCTCGCGTCTCTCTCACCTAGGAGCAGAGAAGACATCCAAGTGCTATGTAAAAGATGGGGGGCGGGATCCCAAAAGACACACTCCCCGCCTGTCTTCTGGGTACGGCTAATTGGAACGTATTTCCTCCAAGCTCAAATGTTTTGAAGACGTATCGGTTTCCATAGGGAGGGTTTTCTGGGAGCGCTGTACATACACAGGGATGTGGGAGAGCCAGATGAAGTCCCTGCTCTGCTCGATTCACAGTGATCTGGGAGGAAAGACTCTGCTCTGAACCAGGCAGAGCAAGGACAAGAACCTGGATTCCCTGGCCAGTGCCCTAGTTAACCCCCCGCAACACAACACACACTTCACGTGACCGAACAAAGCCATGGCCGCTCCCTCCGGTTATTTACCGTCTAATCCCAGTTTCTTTCTTTCCACCTCTTTCTTGTACTCCTCCAGCTCTTGGTCGGTTAGCTGGCTGAACGGGTTGGGGGGCTCTGGCTCAGTTGGTATCTCCTCCTGGGATTCTTCTTTTGTCTCCGTGTCTGCTTTGGAAGCCAGGTTACTCTCCGCGGACTGAAACCAACCGCAGACATGACATTGCACCATCAGCACGAGGGCTGGGGATAAGGTTTAGTGGGCTAGTGATCCTCTTATGTCATGGACCCGAGGCTCAGTATTCTAGGAGCCCAGCCCATGGTTTAAGTGTTTGTTCTCACCGACTCCGATCCTGATCTGCAGGGAGCAAAGCCCTGTGTGCAGCAGAACTGGTGCGATTCCACCATGCACAAGGGGAGCGGGTTATGGGGAAGGCACACAAGCCCAGTGTGGCATGAACTCAGCTCCAGGGTGGGAGAAATACCTTAGGGGGCTGCTATGGGGAGTGGGGCTAGTGGATCCATTACTCTGTGTCTCCATTTGATACTGCCATCCATGGAGTTGGGGCACAGTGTAGTTTTAACGGGGTGGGAGCAGCTCCACTCCAACTCTGAGCAGGGAGAGAGCCCCCCCCACTTCAACACCAACACATCACCATCAGGATTCCCCTGATCTGAGCTCCACAGCTAGAACCCGCGTGCTTATTCTGCAGAGAAGGACCTGGGGATTACAGTGAACGAGAAGCTGGATCTGAGTCAGGAGTGTGCCCTTGTTGCCAAGAAGACCAATGGCATATTGGGCTGTATTAGTAGGAGCATTGCCAGCAGATCGAGGGAAGTGATTATTCTCCTCTATTCGGCACTGGTGAGGCCACACCTGGAGTATTGTGTCCAGTTTTGGTCCCCCCGCCTACAGAAAGGATGTGGACAAATTGGAGAGAGTCCAGCAGAGGGCAACAAAAATGATTAGGGGGCTGGGGCACATGACTTATGTGGAGAGGCTGAGGGAACTGGGATTATTTAGTCTTCAGAAGAGAAGAGTGAGGGGAGATTTGATAGCTGCTTTCAACTACCTGAAAGGGGGTTCCAAAGAGGATGGAGCTTGGCTGTTCTCAGTGGTGGCAGATGACAGAACAAGGAGCAGTGGTCTCAAGTTGCAATGGGAGAGGTCTAGGCTGGATATTAGGAAACACTATTTCACTAGGAGGGTGGTGAAGCACTGGAATGGGTTCCCTAGGGAGGTGGTGGAATCTCCATCCTTAGAGGTTTTCAAGGCCCGGCTTGACAAAGCCCTGGCTGGGATGATTTAGTCAGTGTTGGTCCTGCTTTGAGTAGGGGGTTGGACTAGATGACCTCCTGAAGTCCCTTCCAACCCTAATCTTCTGTGATTCTATGATTCTATTCACCCTTAACCCACACAGGGCTGCTGCCTCGATCGGCAGAGCTGCAGGACAGCAGGGATGTTTACTGCACTATAACATTCCCCGTGAAGCTAGCCCCTTCGTTAATAAGAGTACCGGACTCCTGCTCTTCTCTGCTATCACGCTGGCTAAGAGCTGGGACTGGGGTCCTGCCGATTTCACATCCTGGCGGTTTTGCTCCCGAATCTGTGGGTGAAAAATCAGCCAATAAATAAAAAGAGCTGAAATAAAAGTCTAGCCTAGCTGGCTTAGGGGCACAGTAATAGAGCGGGCCTTGAATTGCCACTAATTTGCGCCTCGGAGAGACTTTTACACGTAGACTAAGGGAGCGTAAAAAGCTCTTTGCACCAGTATCAACGACGACACAAGGAGCAAGGAAGTAGAGAGTCAAGCCCAGAATCTCTCTCTCCTTGGCTGCCCATCTGAATCCAGTTTAGCTCAGTAGCGACTGAATGCCATCCAATGCCCGGTCCTTGGCCTACGTGAAACAAGCCAGCACGTCTCAGCCCTGTTCCTACAGGACAGGGAGGTTTAGCATGACACTGGCACTATTTGGAACTTCCGTCTCAGCCAGGAGGCCAGGCACTGAATGGGTCACAGAGGGACTTTCCCTCTGACCTAGAGGTGGTTCATTCTGATCAGGGCTGAATCATGTTTACAAGGCAGCGCTGGGGAAGGGGTATATGGTGAACTACCCTGGTACCTGCTCTGGTGGTGATCAGAGGACTTCAAAGTGGCGAGTCTGGACCTCGCCACCAGCACTAAACTTGCTGATGTAAAATGAAGAGAAAATGTAAAAAGGAAGTGGCTCATCTGCTCTCCCACCAGCTGCAGGAAAGTCAGGTCATTGGAGTCTCAAAGGAATCTACTGATTCTCAGCCACCTGGAAATTAAGACCTGCCATAGAGCATGGGGTGACAAGAGAGACATCTGAGAGCTGCCACACCTTGTTCCTCATTTCCAGCACTTCCTGGGGGTCTGTGTAGAGAGGCACAAATTGGTTGGGGTTTTCGATTCGGATCGGGGTCCCGCTGCTGGCTTTTTCCACCTCATCGGCCTTCATCCACTGGCCCGTACCAAGGATAGGGTAGGGAAAGAGCAAAGAAAATACATCAAGCCCAGAATTGCAGTATCATTAAGACCCAGGAGACACATGGGCCCAGCCTATGAGTTTCTGACCCATCACAGAATTTTGGATGTTCCAAACTTTGTAGACATTCAGAGCTGGGTAAAGTCCCTTATAGAGAGAGGGGCCAGCAACAAAATTCAGGAATCTGAATTTGGATTCAGATCTAATCCACCCCCTTCCCTGACATTCAAGGTTTTGGTTCAGCCCATTCGGGTGCAATTCCATCGATCTGGATTCTGGTGTGCGCAGCTTTAGGGTTTTGCCTTGACTTGTGTCTAGTAAGCAATTGTTAAATCCCTATCCAAATGTCTATCTAGCTTAGGAACTTGTAGGGCCCCCAGTACCATAGCATCTCACCACCTTTAACGTATTTCTCCTCCACGCTCCTGTGAGGCAGGGCAGGGCTATTATCCCGTTGTACATATGGAGAACTGAGGCTAAGTGACTCGCCCAACGTCATACAGGAAGTCAGTGGCAAAGTAAGGGACTGACCAGATGTCTCCAAAGCCCCAAGCTAGCACCCTCACCACTGGCCCACTCTTCCTGTCTATGCCCCAGGTGACTCCATTCTGGTAGAAGCCCCAGCTGGTTAGCGCATCTCCCAGTAGAAGAGGAAGGCGAACATTTTTATACAGACCAGTCGCCAATTTTGCGAGGGCTCCCCATGAACGTAAGAACATAAGAATGGCCGTACTGGATCAGACCAAAGGTCCATCTAGCCCAGTATCCTGTCTACTGACAGTGGCCAATGCCAGGTGCCCCAGAAGGAGTGAACCTAACAGGTAATGATCAAGTGATCTCTCGCCTGCCATCCATCTCCACCCTCTGACAAACCGAGTCTAGGGACACCATTCCTTACCCGTCCTGGCTAATAGCCTGTTGGTACCTGTTGCTGCTGGAAAGCAGCTTTGCTGCCTGGAACCCGAGGGGTTGTTTTCAGGGATGGGTGAACTGGTTTGAATGCAAAACTGCCCCTTCCCCCCAAAACCTTCCCCCAAAACCTGAAGGTAACGATTTACAGGCTGTCCTACTCTGGTTCTGGCCTGAGCCACAGTTACTCTGGGAGAGGCCGGGCTTGGGGTCTACCGAGTCCAACCAGAAACATCATGAGAATGTCTAGATCAGCTCCAAGCATCTATTGGGCCTTTTAACTCCTTACCCACTGCACTCCGCTGTTGTGGAGGAAGTTGGCCAGGGTCTTTTATGACAGTGCCTCGTACCCAGAATACAAAGCTCATTCCCCCTTACCGTGGTCTTAGTCCGCTGGCTGCCCGCGCTTCTCTGATTCTCCTCAGCTACGTTCACCCGTAGGTAGGTGTTGGGCGTGTTTAGCCAGCGGGTCTTCTCCTTCTGCTGCTTCTGGGCATGCTGTCGGAGGGTGGCGATGGGAGCAACCTCCTCCTCAAAGACGAACGCTGTGACGGTGGCAGGGATCAGCACATCGCTTTTATGCTTGATTTTCTCCTGGACAAAAGGGTGCCGGTACGTGTAGCCTGTTCGGTAACCCTGGAAGGACACAAACAGAATGCTTCTTTACTTGGAAAACTCTAGCTCAGAGGTCCCCAAACTGTGGGGCGCGCCCCCTTAGGTGGGTCCGGAGGAACGTTCAGGGGGGGCGTGGCTGGGGCCCAGCAGGGAGTGCCACCCAGCTCCGTTCCTGGCCCCAACCCTGACTCCCGGCCCCGCACCCAGCTCCAGCTGCCAGCCCCGTGCCTGGGGTCCCGCCTGCCGGCCGCATGTCCAGGGTCCCGGCTGCTGGCCCCAGATGTGGCCCCAGCCCCCTTCCCCATGTCCGAGTCCCCTCCCCGAGCCACATCCCCGACTCCGGGAGGGGAAGTGCGGACAAGGGCTGGGAGGGGCGTGAGGTAATACGTTTGGGGACCACTGCTCTAGCTATTAGGACTGGGCAAAAAATGGCGGGAAAAGGTTAGAGAAAAATGCCACGGGGTTCAAAACAGATCTAGCGTTTGATCTGATTCTTCTTTTTCCCCTTTTTGCAAAACCACAGAAATTTTTATTAACATTTTTTGTCTACCCAAATCCTGGTTTTTAGGAATGGTTTCAGTGAATGAAAGTTTTGATGATGATTGCAACAACATTTCTGGTAAGAGAACATTTTAAAAGCGTTGCAACAAACAAACAACCCCCAGTATAAAATTTAAGATCGTCGCATTTTATGGTTTTGAAAAAAGGCCATTTTGTTTTGAAACAGTTCTTCATTCAAGCATTTTTGGCCAGCTCTGCTATCTGCCCATCTCCCTATGGTCAAATGAGGGCTATCTACATCCCAGATCTTTTCCTCTTCCCTCCCAAGATAAGCAGCATGTACTGCTGAAAACTGGCTCCCCCAGAGGCAGGAAGAGCACATTAACGATGCCCCGAAATGGATTTGTAGTCTGTTCAGCTGGCATGCCTGATGTTTCGAGGCAGATTCCTTAGCAGGAAAGCAAACTGCTTGTTTGGCCTGGGACACATCCTGTGAGATACTGAAGCTACGTCTACACTGCAACTGGAGATGTGAGTTGCAGCTTGTGTAGACGTATCCGCGCTGTCTCCAGGCAGGCGGAAGGGGAGTGTGGAGAATGAGGAATGAGCCACAGCTAAATTGGCTGGAGACTTACCAGGTTGTCCAGCATTCGCATGAGGGCCTCAAACTCATGCTCTCCCAGGCGGCTCTTCTGCATGGGTCCGAACGTGCTCCCGGCCCATCGGACTGACCCAACATCGTGGGGCCTGTACTTCTCCCGCTCCAGCACAATCAGATTCTCAGCTCCCCCAGCGCTAGACAAGGCAGAGACCTAGAGCAAAGCACAGAGACTACAGCAACACAGGCGCAGCTGGAGAAGCCGTTGAGGAAGGGCCAGATTCTTGGTTATGCTCCACCCCCGTTTGCTCTGCAGAAAGGGGAAGGATTCTGGCTAGCAGAGAATTCCCTTGGTGGAAGGGAGCTCCTGAATGGAATAAAGCTGCTAGAGTTGGCTCCTGCAGCAGCTACCCACCAGTCCAGCCTTGGGAGCGTGCCAGAGTTACCCTACACTAGTGGTCCCCAAACTTTTTACCTCGTGCCCCCCTTACCCCTGTCCATGCCCCCCTCCTACCCTCTGGAGCCAGGGCTGCAGCTCCGGGATGGGGAGACACAGACAGGGGTAAGGGGGATGAGGCTGGGGCCACAGCTGGGGGCAGGCACAGGGCTGGAAGCAGAGTCCCGGGTGCGGGGCCTCACCAAGAGTGGAGCCGTGAGCACGGGGCTGGCAGCCAGGACCAGGAGCGGAGCTGGGTGGCACTCCCTCCCCACCCCCCACGGGGGCTGGCCCAGGCCCCAGGTGCACCCCCTCTCCCCCCGAATGGAAACAATGTCCCCTGCCCTGAAGTGCTTGCCATGTGAGACCCTAATCCTGCAAACGTGCATGTTACTCAGGCACCCGGATGGTTTGCAGCATCAGTCCCATTTATTTACTGACGACCTTTTTCTCTCCTCAGCTGACGGCACTGAAATAGCTGTGTGGTGCTTGTTGCCGTATTTCAGAAGGTCGAGATGCATCTGTAACAGCCCCAGACCCCGGTGCGCTCCCTGCCTGCCAGCCACAGAGGCAGAGCGCAGGCCGGTTTGGAAACAAAGCCAAGCAGCCTTGGGAGTCACTGGGCATTCAAATGCCGCTATTGCGCTGGGGAGTTAATGACTAGGGAGTAATGAGCGGGGGCGGAGAGGAGAGACAGGAAACAGGCAGCAAGGCCCATGAGTAGCAGCGTCAACAAGGCTGCATGTGGGAAGGAGGCAGTCTGCAGAGCACATGTATTCCCAGCCCTTCACCTGCAGATGGCTCAGGGGCCAGGCCTCAGCAGGCGCTGCTGACCTCGTTTTCCCAGCTAAAGAAGTAGGTCGATGTGCAGAGGGGAGGACAGCGGCATTTATAATAAATGACACTGATTGCAAGCTAGCTGCCTAACCAGCGCAACCAAACCCGCCGCTTCGGTACAGCCGCACCCGCACCGCGCGGGAAGAGCAGAGCAGAAGAAAGTCAGCATCCTCATGTTGCATTTTCAGGCTTTGCTGACAAGCCACTGTTTAAAAAAATAAAAATAATAAAAAACCAACCCACAAAGGAAATCTACAGCAGCTGTAGGTGGGGCTGCAGGAGAATTGGCTGTAGGCATGGAGCCAGGGCAGAGATTGGAGCACTGATGCTTTCAGCGAGTCCAATGCTGATAACAGCGCCAAGCTCTGAGGATTGTGGCATTATCACAAACATGTCCATATCACCCCTTCCATGCATGGAAAACCTGAGCGGCTGGACGACTGTCCTTTCTTAATGCAAACTCTTCCTACAATCCGGTTTACTCCACGTGGCCAACAAGAAGCTATTAACAGTGCAACCCCTGTTTATTCCCTTTTCTGTTCTTCTCAGTGCATCCTGCTGACTCTGTCTGGGTTGCTCAGATTGAGACCAATGCTGTATTTTGTGTGTGTGCTATGTTTATGGGGATTTGGGAAGCAGGACAGAGCAGGGCAATTTGAGTTGGTGACAGAGCTGAGGGCATTTGTCTGTTAACATTCTGGGTGGCTAACGTTGATTACCCGAGGGAGGATAGCTTTCTAGATGTGCTGATTGATACCATTATTATACAGAATCACGCTTATGACACTCGTGTCCTAAGGACCAACCAAGAGATGGGCCCCACTGTAGTATTCCCCATTCCCTGCCCTGAAGCGCTTACAAACGAAACACCCAAGACAAACACAGGGTGGGGGAAAGGCCATAACAGGCAAGCGGAGTGAACAATGTGGTGGCAGCCAATGTCATGTTCCATTTTTAGTTAGGAGGGGATCAGCTAAATGGAAAGAAAAGAGAAGGGAGCGGGGGCATTGCAAGGAAGGAGAGTGAGGGGGACAAGGCAGGAGGGAAGAGGGTAAGAGAGGCAGGTGTGGAGTAAAGCACTGGTGCCCTCGGGTGTTTTCAACATCTGTCAAAAGCCTCCAGCGTGCGAGCAAAGCACTCTGCTCTGATCTACATCTAGAAATGAATCCGTGGAATTGATGGTGCTTGATAATAAGGACTAATCATTTTAACTACAATCACTGCAGCTCCAATGTAGTGAGGGGTTTGAAGCCAGGGACTTTTTCGGGACATGGCTCAGGTTGAAACTTGCACCACCATTGTCTCAAAGCGTTTGCACAGGTGCGCCTAGACGGTGTACTGAAGGCGAATGCCCCCCCAAGCTAGCCCAGCAAACATGTACTACGCCTGAAATACCATCCCTGGCCGTGTTACACCCTCACTCCGACTGTGAGCTCTTCGGGACTGATTCACATCACGCTTTGGTTTTTACATGGGTGTAACGCCATTGACTTTGGTGGAGTTATTCCTGATTTACGCTGGCGTATGCAACAGCCAAATCAGGGCCATTGTCTTTTATTCACCGTGAAAGCACCACACACGTTTATGGCACCATATAAATAATGAATAACAGCTGCAAGCGATGCAGAACATCACTCATTTTGTGTCCCCATTTGAGCTCTTGCTGAGCTCTGAAGGCTTAGAGGGCGAGGTTTCCAAATCAGCATTTGCTAATCTCTGCTCTCATTGAAGTCAGTGGTAAAGCTCCCAGAGACTTCAGTGGGAACTCATCTAGGTCAATGCCGAACACTTCTGAAAATCCCACCCCAAAACAACAGGCAATAGCGGAGGAGACGGCAAAGGCCCAATTCAAATAATAGGGCAGCAGCTGAAACTCAAGATTAAGCTGGGAGTGACTGGAAGCCACGACAGTAAATAAAGCTGTAAAAAAAAAGGAAGTTGGTTTCCGTCCTGAAGTCTGTTCCAGGGACTGCCCAGTAGAGGGAGATAAATGATCAGTGCAATCCAGACGGATTGAATTGGTGTATTCTCTGCAAAAAGAACGAGGAGTACTTGTGGCACCTTAGGGCTTGTTTATACTTACGCGCTGGTTCGGCGGCAGGCAATCGAACTTCTGGGTTCAATTTATCGCGTCTTGTCTGGACGCGATAAATCGAACCCAGAAGTGCTCCCCGTCGACTCCGGTAATCCTGCTTGGCGCGAGGAGTACGTGGAGTCGACGGGGGAGCCTGCCTGCCGCGTCTGGACCACGGTAAGTTCGAACTAAGGTTCGTCGACTTCAGCTACGTTATTCACGTAGCTGAAGTTGCGTATCTTAGTTCGAATTGGGGGGTTAGTGTAGACCAGGCCTTAGAGACAAACAAATTTATTTGAGCATAAGCTTTCGTGGGCTACAGCCCACTTCATCAGATGCATAGAATGGAACATATAGTAAGAAGATAAGTATACATACAGAGAACATGAAAAGGTGGAAGTTGCCATGCCAACTCTGAGGCTAATTAATTATGAGCTATGATCAGCAGGAGAAAAAAAACTTTTGTAGTGATAATCAAGATGGCCCATTCCAGACAGTTGACAAGAAGGTGTCAACTTCTTACTATATATATATATATGTCTTCTTACTATATGGTCCATTCTATTCTATGCATCTGATGAAGTAAGCTGTAGCCCTTGAAAGCTTATGCTCAAATAAATGTGTTAGACTCTAAGGTGCCACAAGTACTCCTGTTCTTTTTGCGGATACAGACTAACATGGCTGCTACTCTGAAACCTGTATTCTCTGCAGCACTCTCCGACAGCGCAAACCTTAATCTGCTCCTTGCAGGACATCTCCCCAGGGTCAAAACAAGATGTTGCCATCCTGCAGCCCACCATCTGCACCAAGCACTAGAGTATTTCACAGTTGCGGCTGGAAATTTGGGATGGATGCTTTAGAACGCTGCAGTTTATACCACAGTGATACCTTGCAAACACAGGACTCATTGTGTCTGGTACAGGGGGTTTGTAATGATCCTGGGTCTCTCCCCATATTAGGCATACCAGACACAATGCAGTCCTGTCTTAGCAAGTTATCACCCTGAGTCTGTCAGTCTATACTGGTGGTAGGGAAGGGAAAGCAAATAGTTTTGTCTTTAACTTATGGGAGACACTCCAACTTTACAGTGACAAGAGTCATAAGTACCTGGGTGGCTGGTTAGATGGAGTATTCATCTAGACTACCTAGTGCAGTGCCCTGAGCAGAGTAACAAAGCATTGTAATGAGAAGCGAGCTTAGAAACACACTGATGAGGGCTGATGCTCATTCCAACGTGCTGCCCTGGTGGAGTTGCTCACCTGGATCTCACAAGCAGCCTGCAAGTGAAAGGTTTTATAAAAAGCTTCCTCCACTGTATCTCCCAGAGTGATCACGCCGTGATTTCGCAGCACCAGGATCTGCGGGGAAAATGAAATACTAGCTAACACCGTGAATTCATTTCTTTCTAAAGAGGCTCAGAGACGCAGTCCAATGACAAGTCTGGGTTTTTGCCCAGCACCTGAAAGTCCCTGGAATGACTTGCCAGCTATTTCAGCTCACATTCGGAATGGCAGGTTCTGTAAAAAGTGACAGCAATTTAACACCTTTGTAACTTCCCAGATGTTGAGTAGTTCTGATACTTTGCCTGGGTTATTGGCCATTTCCTTGTAATCTAATCTGTGTGGCACTCCTCTTGTTGTGTCAGGATCTAATCTATGTGGCACTCCTCCAGGTATGTCAGGACACAGATGGGTAAACTGAGGCACAAAGCAATTGGGGGGCCCAAACTCAAACAGCAGGGCAATAGCCCAGCCAGCCGTAGAACCCAGATCTCTCAGTCTGGTGCTTTAGCCATATGATGGACCAAAATCTTACGACAAGTCAGAATGTGAAGCCCTGACAGGACCGCAAACCAGAACCCAAACCCCAGCCCAGGCCTGGTTTGGACCCAGATCTGAACGCCACCTCTTCAGCCCATCTCCAATGAAAATATGACTGGGCCAAACCCATTCCTGGAGCAACTCCACTGAGCTGTATTAGCCCGACAGCTGATCAGACATAACATCTTTCAGTCCGAGGAGCGTGACTTTTCTCCTAACCTTGCAGGTTGGTCCAAGGCACTTCTGTAGCTCAATCCTGTCTGCCTCTTCCTCCATCTCTCCATTGAAATCGAAGTACACCATGTTGCCCAGCAGCAATGCATCGTGGGATACAGGCAGGATGCCACATTTCATGGCAGACACCTGGCAAACAGAGAGAACGCAGGAAACAAAGGGGAAGATCAGCATAGAATCATAGAATATCAGGGTTGGAAGAGACCTCAGGAGGTCATCTAGTCCAACCCCCTGCTCAAAGCAGGACCAACCCCAACTAAATCATCCCAGCCAGGGCTTGGTCAAGCCTGACCTTAAAAACCTCTAAGGAAGGAGATTCCACCACCTCCCTAGATAACCCATTCCAGTGCTTCACCACCCTCCTAGTGAAAAAGTTTTTCCTAATATCCAACCTAAATCTCCTCCACTGCAACTTGAGACCATTACTCCTTGTTCTGTCATCTGCTATCACTAAGAACAGTCTAGATCCATCCTCTTTGGAACCCCCTTTCAGGTAGTTGAAAGCAGCTATCAAATCCCCCCTTATTCTTCTCTTCTGCAGACTAAACAATCCCAGTTCCCTCCCACTCTCCTAAAAAGTCATGTGCTCCAGCCCCCTAATCATTTTTGTTGCCCTCCGCTGGATTTTTCCAATTTTTCCACATCCTTCTTGTAGTGTGGGGCCCAAAACT